CCAAAGGCCTGGGTCCTGGGTGCCGGAGGAAAACCAGTGCCAGCAGCCAGGGGAAGGAAGGCCTATTGTGTGAATCTTCATGCAACGGGCTTCTAGTCTATAATAATAAAAAGCTAATAGGCAAATGGTTGTCACATCCTCATGCCATAATAACTGATTAGCAGGAGGTGCTGAAGCACCTCTCGGGCCCTCCTCCCCGCCCCTGAGCAGCGGCTCTTGTGGCTCGATGGGAGGCAGAGTGCCTCGTGCAATTTTGTGTGCTGGGCCTCTAGTAGAGTCAATACTATGTATAGTGCCAGGTGGGCACTATACATCAAGGGAATATCAAGGGAGCATTTTGTGAAGTGTATGATTGACTACTATACTGTACACCTGAAACTAATTCAAAATAATATTGAATGTAAACTGTAATTTAAAAAGATAGGTTTGCCTGGCCGTCATGGTTCAGGGGTTGAGCATTGACCTATGAACCAGGAGGTCATGGTTCAATTCCCAGTTGGGGCACATGCCAGGGCTACAGGCTTGATCCCCAGTGTGGGGTGTGCAGGAGGCAGCTGATCAATTATTCTCTCTCATCATTGATGCTTCTGTCTCCCTCTCCCTTCCTCTCTGAAATCAATAAAAATATACTTAAAAAAATAAAAAACAAAAAACATAGCTTTATTGAGATACAATTCACAGGCCATATAATTCACCCATTTCAAGTATACAATTAAATGGTGTACTAAAAATATATGTATATGTGAATATACTAATAGTCACAGAGCTATGCAGTCATCACCGTAACCAATTTTTGGACATTTCATGACCAAAAGGAACCCCCATACTTTGTATCTGTCACCTTGAAAGCCCCCTCCTGCCCTCACCACTCTCACAGCCCTGGGCAACCACTAATCTTTCTGTTTGTATAGAATTGCCTGTTCTGGACATTTCACATAAATGAAATCATACAATATGTGTCCTTTTGTGACTGGCTTCTTTCATTGACCATAATGTTTTGGAGGTTCATCCATGTTGTAGCAAGCATTGTTACGTCACTTCCTTTTCTTGTTGAGTGATATCCCAGTGTATGGGTGCATTATATTTTCCTTGTTCACTCATCAGGGGATTGTGTTCACCTTTTGGCCATTATTAACCACCCTTCTAGGAACATTGTGCAACTTTTTGTGTGGGCACATGGAGTGGAACTGCCAGTCACGGCGACACTGTTAATCACCTGGGTATGACTAACAGACAGGCGCACAGCGGGGGGTGGGGGGGACACTCACACAGGCCGCCATCCACCCAGGGCCCCAGGAGGCGGCAGGGATCACGCCCAGGTCTGTTCCACTGTCGCTGGGGCAGGGACTGGACATAGACGCATGCCCAGTGGGGAGGTGCCCACTGTCAGTCACACTGGGAACAGGTCAGTGGCCAGAATGGGCATGGCCACTGCCAGGGCATGAAACCGGAATATTTAAAGTCCTGGCCCAAGGAGCGCCCTCTGGGCCCTGGGCCCTGGCACTCTCAGGAAGGCGTTGTGTGGGGCGCATTTCCCTGCATTCGCCCTGCGGATCTGCCCGATGCCAAGCTGGGCCGGCTGCAACCCGGAACAGACTCTGCACTGGCCCTGCTTCTGGCTCTGCTGACCCCACCGCGGCCCTTTGCCAGGACTCGGTTAAGGACTGGAACCTGAGGAGTGTAACTCCAAACAAGTAAAGTCTTTTACCATCTCCTTCTCCCGTGGGGCCTTTGAAAATGCTCATTTCAGCTGCGCCCGAGAACCCCTCTCCCACTGGCTGTGAAGTTCAATTCTCGACAATGATATGGAACTGTATTTTAACTTCCGGGGAACCGGCAAATTCAGCTTCCCAAAGCTGCCGGCCACTCCTTTCCCCCCGGTGTGGGAGCTCCCATCTTTCTGGCTTTCCATCCTTTTATTATCTCACCCGGTTGTGAACTGGTGTCTCGCTGGGTTCAGATTTGCAGTTCCCTGGTGGCTAATGTGGGGAGCATCTTGTCATGGCTTATTGGATGTCTCTTCAGTTCCTTTGCCCATGTCCTTATGATGGAGTTGTAGTACTTTGATATGTATCATAAATACAAGTCCCTCATGAGATGTATGAGTTATGAAAATTTCCCGGGTATCTGTGGGTTGTCTTTTCACTTTTTTTATTTTGTCCTTTGGACACAAAACATTTTAATTTGGATGAAGTCCAGTTTACCTATTTTTTCCTTTTGTTGCTTGTGCTTTGGTGTCCTAAGAAACTATCACTTAGTCCAAGGTCATGAAGATCTGCACCTATATTTTATTATAAGAATTTTATAATTTTAACTTATGAAGCTTTTTTTAAAAATCCATTTGCGTTCATGTTTGACTTGGTGTGAAGCACAGGTCCAGGTCATTACTTCACATGTGAACTCCCAGTGATACCTACAGCAATCAAGATTTAACTACAACAAGACTGTGCACAAAGCCCACAAAGGGGTGCACCAATAGTGTCCACCTCAGGTAATTGGGGAGGCTGAGCCACTGGGCCCTATAGAACACCTAGCACAGAAAGCCACTCTATCAACACAGGGAAGCAGCCAAAATGCGGAGACAAAGAAACAGGTC